ATTGATGGATTTTTGTGAGGATCTACATTGACTGCTCCATTTGTTTCTCTAGTTCACTTATGGCAACAAAGAGCAGCCGGCAAACTCTGTCACAGTTCAGATGACTTTCATCCGCCTCCTCTCCAAAGAGGCATCTCAGACCATCACCTACAACTGCAAGAACTCTGTGGGCTATAAGGACGGGAAGATGGGCAACTATAAGAAAGCTGTAATCCTCAAGGGCTCCAACGACCTGGAGCTCAAAGCAGAGGGAAACAACCGCTTCAGATACACAGTGGTGGAGGACACCTGCGCAGTAAGTTCTCACAGTTCAACAGTGGCTTTGCTCTTTTTTTACATATTCATTCATTGTTACCCGTATCAAAGGACACAATTCCATATTTTTCTTGTTCTTAACAAATCCTTTGAAATGACCAATACCAATAATATTAATGGTTCCATTGATTGTCAAGTGAATTTTGAAGCAAACTTTTGAAATTTAGGCACATTTTCAACAGCTGGTTTGGAGCGAATAAACTTGGCTACGCAAAGCTAGTTTAATTAGAAGAAGGTGTATAGGCTATGTTTTGAGCAGGTACTACCCATTGTTCAGTCACCCCATTATTCCAAAACCCCATTAGTCTGAAAAACGTCTCACAGAACCGAAAGCCCATGTGTTCGACAGCACGTTGTCCCGAAAACAAACGCCCATTTCTACAAAAATACACAATCTCCTTGCAACAAACAGAAGCACATGGCTAATTATTATGCAGAATGACATCTTCAGAACTTTTTTCTTACTATGGCAAAGGCATGACCCCCATCTACAAAAGAAAAATGGTTAGAGGTCTTCAGGAATCTGTTTCAATTAGGCAAGTTATAATTGTTTTAGACAAAGAAAAAAAGTATGCAAAGATTCTGAAGCACAAGCAAGGAGTGGAAACAGCTGATCAGTCGTTTGAGTTAAATGTTCACTATGTCATAACTTATTGCATTAATACTTTGCCGAGAATCTATTTAAGGCATCAACTATTTTTTGAAAAACGAAGCGTAAAAACTTTGGCGCAGTTGTATCGAATTTTGCAGCACTTCAAAATGCGTGTAAAAAATATGTGAATAGAAACAGGGCTAATGAGTCTTTCAATTAGTCTGCTGAATGTTTAAATAGGTAACTGTTTATTAACAACTTTGCCATAACAACTTAAAAAGGTGACACTTTGTCAATGTGTTGTCAGCTTGTTTTGCTGCCCCCTAGTGGCTGAAAAATCAAGTAAAGCTGCTTCAAGCAGGATTAAACAATGCAGTGTTAGGGACTATTTTCAGCCATAGAATAAAGCACATTTGGTGCCGTGAGCTGTTGTGGCAGCAGGTCCGTGTAAGGTATATCAGGCTTTGGATACAATTAATTCATTGCTATTCTTTGGTCTTTTTATGAAGTTTGTTGGAAAAACAAAACATGCTGAGTATCTAAAGCAAGGCAACACCCAGAACAAGTCATTAAGATACTGTTTACAATTTCATCGAGATGTATTGCTTATCATTGTAGAGAACAATTATGTTTCAGTAGTCACTGAACCTCTGTCAATCTTTTACAGCAAGCAAATGGCAACTGGGGCAAGACAGTGTTTGAGTACAGGACACAGAAAACTGCAAGACTTCCAATTGTGGATATGGCCCCTGTGGACATTGGCGGCCCGGATCAAGAGTTCGGCATCGATATCGGGCCCGTGTGCTTCTTGTAAAATCGTCAGCATGGATGCGTCGAGGAGAATCCTGAGACTATTGAACTGACAGCTGACACGATCAGCCACGTTGTACATACGAGTACTGAGGACTATTCTGGCCCTGTGGCAAGATATTTATTGTGCCTTTCAACCCAGTTCAAGAGATCAAAGATTTGTAAGTTAGAATGAATGTTTGGAATTTACTTAAAAAATTGGTAAAAATCTGAATCATTCCTCTGTCTTCTTGTGTATGTTTGACTCCAAGCGTGATGCATTTCGAGGCTCACTATGGTTTAGTTTGGTCCAAAGATATTACCCTTTAATTCTATTTCACAAACATTATTGCCAAAGATTTATGAACATGAAAGCTCTAAAATTGTAATTATAACTGCTGTCTAAAGGCCCAGAGAAATCCCACTGAAGCTTCGTCAAATGTCCCTCCACTAGTATGTTTTCCAGATTTGTCTACTCATTTTTTTGTTTGAAATGTGTTGCATATACAACAACATTGCGGTGCTATTGAGGAAATGAATACAGCCGACGCTGCATTCACTCAGCGCAGGAATTTTCTCAAGACAGTTTTGATGAACCAATGTCTGTATCCAGTTCTTCCAAACTCTGTACCGTAGAGCACGTAGAACATTAAAGACACATTAAGACTGTCGATTCCTCAGTGTTAGCTACCTCGTCACCGAAACTGAGAAACGATGACACCACATGTAAATCTGCTTTCACAGGTGCTGTTTTGTAAGTATAGTGTGATCCTTGTGCACTTCTCCCGGCTGCACGGTACAGGGCAGGGTGTGGGGATACCAATAAAGATCTTTCCTTCAAAGATGGAGAGGCGAATGAGGTGTCGCGTGAGTGGTGTGTGGTGATTTGTAAAAAAATGTTTTTCCCCCTTTGATTTCAATATCGTACAGTAAAAAGTAGCAGAGAGTATTCTATTTTTATGCATGCCAGTTCCCTCATTTTTCAGTATCCTGGACTTGTACGCTCTTGAAATCCTTTTTATAATCAGTTTTATAGGATAAGGTGGCTGTGAGTGCCTGTTTGCTTTGTATTTCCTGCTATGCAACAAATTAAACAAACTGCTTGTTAATCCCCCCCCAAGCTCTTGTCATATTGATTTAGGTATAGGTAGGTCCTTCATGCTTGTCATTTTGCACACAAACTCATTTTTTGTAGACATATTTTGTAGTTTTTAAAAAAGCATTTATGTATTTAACGTAATGTCCACAGTTGTTTATAATGTACGCATGTCTGTTTTAAAATTTCATGAATGTTCCTTCAAGTTAATCTATTGTGACCATTTGGTTCATATTTGAGTATATTTATTATAGATTTGTAACCTTTGCGAGGCTTGACTGCCTGATAACAGCCCAGAGGCAGAGAGGAGGAGGATGAGGCTCTCCACACTGCTAACAGATGCGTTTCGTCCTTGAAAATAAATATTGAAAATACTTCTCTCTGCCTGTTCTTGTTTGAGAAGAATAAATTTGGTCCTTTGTACCATAATAGAATCATATCAGCCTCAAGAGCGTGTAAAATCCTGAGGCGAAAAACACAGAGAAAAAGAGATGAAGGTAAGAAAAAATGGAATGTCGGACCACAAAATGAACAAAGATGTAACTGAAGAAGTAGGACAACTGCAGAGTTAACTGCTACTGAGACATACTCAACATTACAAATCACACAAGTAGCTACAACAAGACTATGAGCCATAGTAGTAGGCTACTATAATGCTAATACCAGCATGGTAACATGCTCACAATGATAATGCCAACATGTTGATATATGGCAGGTAATATTTGCCCGTTCTGCTATCTTATTCTCTGATTTGATCTTAGTGTTAGCATGCTAATATTAGCTAAAGAGCACTAATCACAAAGGAATAGGAATATGGGAAAATCATTATGCTAACATGCTAACACTTGCTAACACTTGCTAATTAGCAATGCACACAAAGTGGAGCTGAGGCTGATGGAAATGTTTGTTTACATACATAATTGGCCCTGAACACAAAATAGAGCTGCAGGTAATGAGAGCATGAATCCAGCATCCTCAAAGAGGTGCTGGAGAAAAAGTCAGTAGGATTCATCATCTGGAAACCAAGAATGTGTGAACAAAATGTTGTGCCAATCCATCCAGCAAATATAGCTATTTCACTGAATATGGGAAATATTTGACCTGCTGGTGGCCCCGGAGAAAAGTCATGGGGTCACTTACATTAAGAGAGTTCATCCTCTGGGAACCATGAATGGCTGTAGAAGGTATTTATGGCCATTGAGATATCTCAATCTGTACCAAAGTGGTGGACCAATGGATCAACAATGCCATCCATAGAACCATGCTGGGAGCATAGCTAATAATGAAATCCTTGAATGAAGAGAAAACATCTAAAACACAAAAATACTAAACAGCTAAAAGTGACACGAATATTATAAAATGATAGATTCAATGAGAAGCCTTTTTTCGCAGATTTTCTTTAATATCTGTAACAGCAAAGTCAATGCAACCAAAAGTAAAAATAATGGAAAAGTACTGTATACGGACAGAGGCTGTCCAAAAAGGTGCCTTCTGGTGCAAGAAAAGAGGAGACTAAAATGATGATTATTAAAAAATATGACAAGTAAATACTGAAATGGCAACTCAAACCTGCAAAATACAAAAAAAAAAAAACAACGTCAAAAACAACAGGTTGAAAGATTGGTAAGCCAAAAAAATATATCAGACTGGATTAATTAACTTCATAATGTTGAGTAACATAACATAATAATGTGTTGTTATGTGCAAGCTGATGCTTGTGTTAATGATACAGATTCCATTTATTTTCTTTGCCAGCTTGTGTTCGGCATACAAACAGGAATGTGTCAACAATACAACAATATAGTTCAAATGGTGCTTACACACAAATTGTCTCATATGAAAATTCTGCCACAGAGTGTACCATTGGACATATTTGACTATTTACATCTCTCATTGCCTGTGCAAGCAAAAGTACTTCTCTCTCTTCTTTTTGTTTTACAAAAATAGTTCTTTTCTATAATGGATCTGAGTCTACCTTGAAATATTCCAAAAAACAACAACAATCTAAATGCAAATGCATATAAACCTCAAGATGAAAACCGTGACATCTCGACTCGACCGTGGAGTGGATTTTGGCACTTCTTCATACAAACGAGTTAAAAGTACGTGACAAAGAGCATCTTCATGGCATCAGCAGCGGCTGTCTAGCGGGTCCAGAGCGAAGACGGTGCCCTCTAAGGTTAGTCCCATTTTGAACCCCTCCTGGAAAGACAAGCCAGAGAACAGCTGTGACGCCCCGGTGACCACGCACACCGACACTGGTCTCTGTGAGGTCACATGTCCCAAAACAGGAAGTCGGAGTCGTGGTTGGATCAGAGGCGATGGGATATCTCTAAACCGCTGAGGGTAAAAGGGAATGAAATGCTGCACAAAACGGAGATTACACGACTGTTGTTGCGCCATGCCTTTAGACGTGCGATACGTGCGGAGTCAGCAGAAACAATAAAGCATGCAGCTAAGTGAGAGAAGCAGCGGTGGAACTCATTTATATCAGATGGAAAAGTCAGAAGCTATTTTATTTGTATCTCTTAATAAAAATGTGCTTGTAATTGTTTTAATGTGCTCTTTGATATAGACATGTTTTTATTAAATGTGACATCTATTCCAAAAGCTTTAGCATACTAAATAAAGCGATTATTGGCTGAAAATCAACATCTATCATAATATAGAAAGGTTGTTTGATCACATTAATTAATAAGCCTCTGTCTGGCACAAGCAGCTCATTAACCACAGAGCAAGGGAGCTGGGAAGACAAACTGCTAATTAAAGACAATGAGGCTCGGGCACAATGTACTAAATATCTACTACGTCAAAGGGGAACATTTTAGAGATGATGGAAGAGGTGAATCACATCACGCAGTGTGTGTGGGAGCATTCGACGTCCTCCACAGGCATGCGAGACAAAGACACAACCACGGGCACAGCACAGATATAGAAGCAGAGCAAAGAGTACGAACCATCTCTGACGCTACAAGTGACAAGAGATGCATTCACGTGTTAATAGTGAAGAAGAGGAAGACTTTGAAGGAAATGTTAAGCGAACTCACAAAACGGGCGCGCCAATGCAACGTCGCCTCCTACTGGCAATAACTCAGCAGATCATTTCCAAACACAATCACAGAAGTTGCAGCTGGTTTTCACTTCAAGAAGTCATTATTTTCTAATCATACTGTGATTCAAAACCTTCACACAGACCCACAAAGAATGGCTGATTGCTGCGGATACAGCCTGAACTGTATTTGTGATGTTTTTGTATTTGACAGACTGATTGCGTGCCAACTCAAGCTACAGCAGTGGATCTCAAACTTGTTCTCATTCACCATTTGGAAGGAGAAAACAATGCCATACTCACTAATACCACTGTAAACAAATGAGTTTTCTCTCAACCGTTAACAATATTGGGAGAGCGGTACAACAACATAAATCTTTTATCAATGAAACTTATTTTACTTTAACACTTGAATTAAGTTTGAAAATAACACTACCAAGAACATGAACTGCCTAATTCCATTGAGTCTACCATGAGTCTCTATTGAGAAAATGAAACCTAAGCGGCCGAAAGACAGAAAGCTGACACAGTAATGCCTCATTATCACTGCACGGTTGGGCTCAACTCCACTCACTGTTGGTACCAGTCAGTTCAATTTTTAAAGGCAGCAGACTACGTGAGAAATTGCGGCGACATCATTTTCAACGTGACACTCGCTGGATCCTTTCATCGTCAACAGAGGAACGTCTGCACTTCAATCATACGACGCCGTAGTTTAAACGGACGCCATTTTTAAAAATATTGGTTGATTGAATAAAAACAATTGATGGTAGTTTGGCAAATTTTAAAACGACAGGTTTGTGCAGAATGTCCAGTGTCGTGCTCGTGGCGTCAACCAGTGGTCTGCAGTGTTTCAACTCTGCCTTTTAGTATCGACTAAGCTCTTTTGGAAAAAAACTGTTGCTCATGTAAAACAAAAAAAAGAGGGAGTCAAGTTGAGTAGAGCGGTGCTGTACCGTGCAGTGGAAATGCGTCATTAGAGAACCTGAGAGCAAGATGGTCAAATTCTTCATTCTTTCTTGACTCCAACTTTATCCGACGTGTCCAAATGAATCATGATAACATAAATCTTGTTGCTAGTGAACAGTTTGTTTTGTATGTTCCGACCGCATGAAATAGATATCCAATCGAAGTTTCTTTTGCTATTTGTTCTAGCCCCCTTGCAACGGCTCTTTGTCCCCGAGAGAGAGAGCGATACACGTCCCACAGTTTGAGAACCACTGAGCCACAGAGTCAGGAACATATCGAATGATTATAAATACGGCAAAAGAATATGGTCTAGCCCCTGGTGAGATGCTGGCGAGTGAGTTTCTATTCATACTTCCAGACAGCGGCGGGGGGGGCTAATTATGTTTCAATTGCGAATACAACACTAAGCTCGGTTTTACATTTATTGCTCCACCAGACCAGAAATACTTACATAAAAATAATGAACTGTAATATGAAAACATTTTCACTGAACACTCAGAACTTTTTAATTTCTTCACTCCTTTGAAACGCATAAAGGAACATGGAAACAGAACTCAGTGATACACAATATTCTTTTTTAATAATGCATTTCTAAATGAACGTGTAACCGTCCCAGATTATTCTAAATAGAGAAGTTAGTCGTATTAAACACCGAGTCCAGCCGAGGATTTGATAAGAAATCTTATCGTGCTCAGCTTTTTCAGTAACAAATAGGACATAAACCCTCACATGCGCTTTTTTCCCCCACTGTACACAACAGTATGTCAAACTTCATCTATTCCAACATTATTCTTCTTAATAAACAATGCGCTGGAGCTCGCTTACAGCCCGCAACAGGCCAATTAGGACCAAACTGTCCCAATGAAAGGATTCAGCATTGGTATCCACCGCTGAGGCATCGCCTACGATGCACAAAGCCTTTGTTCACATTAACCAGAGAAAATTTGAACCTTCAAAGTGCCGATACAGATAACAAAGGCGGACAGGACCCCGCTGTTTAGCCTGTGACTCCCTGCAGTTCCTAGAAAACAGTTTTCACTCACCTGCATCTCGTCCAGCTTCGACTGAATATCTGGAGGGAAGTCAGCTGACCCGCAGGTGAACGGATCAAACGGCTCCGCACCGAACAGGTCTTTCCCTGCCGACAAACACAGACAGCAGATCAACATCGCACTGACTGAAAAAGAAAAGGAGCTTCAGCAGAGAGTGAATTCATGTCTTCTTCGTATCATGCGACAGATATTTAAAGTGGCAATGGCGACTTATTCAGACCATCAGGGAAAACAAATAAAGAAACATACTCAAATATGTTATTGTTATTACTAAATCGAAGTTACTACTCACTTATGTCTGGTGGTAAAGTGGTCGGTGGCGGTGGTGGGCAGCCGTTACTGAGCATTGTGGGAGCCAGCGGTGTCACATGGGAGAAGGGGACCATGTCGAAAACGTCTGTCGGTTTCTGTGGTTTCATGGAGATGCTCCCTCCCTGTATGTAAAGACAAGGAGATGGTTAAGCTGAGGTCACACTTGTGTACGCTCGCACCAAGACAAACACTTTTTTTTTTTCAAAGAAAAGCAAGAGAAGAAGCAGGAAAAACAAAAGAATAAATAACAAAAAGACAGGCGAAAGCAGGAGACAGTGAGACCCCGGGGACAGCGACAAAGCACAGAGAAAGAAGGAAGGAAGGAAGGAGCGTACGCGAGGTCGCGGGATGCTGCACCCCTCGGTAGGCTTAGGAGGAAGCAGAGCAGGTTTGGCAGGCGGAGGAGGAGTTAGTAGCCCGCTGGACATGTTGGACTCCGGCGAGCTCATGGGAGTGAGCGTGAGAGAGGAGATCTCCAGACAGGAGAAGGACTTGATGCTGTGGCACCAGAAGAGAGAGGAGGGCCTCTGCAGCATGTACGCTTCGTTCTCTGCGTTTATGTGCAGCGGCTGAAAAGAGGAATCGCAGACAGGAAATGACCAGAGAGGAACAATATCATTCAGTCATTTAAGAGTGGGAGAGGTGTGGGTAATTGCATTTCGCAGGGGGCTGTCACAAGTACTGGCATTTGGCCCAATTACATGCAGAATGTATCACATTCCTCATCAGACCAATCAGGTTTGTAATTGCTTTGCTTCAGACGCAGCTTAGACCCCCACAGACTCCCTCCAGATAGGTCGAGTTGGAGGGGGTTTTCTTTAATCACACAAGCAATATATCTGCAGACGCAGCTGCTCTTAGATTCTTGCAAGCTTAAATTTGATAAACTTTCATAATTAAAAGATGGTCGTGAAGCAAAACTATGTGACTTTTGAAATAGGAATTAACCTAATCTTAGTCTTAAGAATAGTTCAATTAAGTTTAAAAAAAAAGTTATATTCACAAGCAATAAAAAAACACACCTGTGTTCAATTCAGAGCACTTGAAAGGTTTTGCTGCTACAGCCTCACTTGGTCTGTTAGTTTGGTTCAATCTCTAAACTGAAGAGGTGTGTGTGTGTGTGTGTGTGAGTGTGTGTGCGCGTGTGTTTGTCCTTACTGGTGGCACATGAGCTATCATCAGCTGCTCTTCAAGGTCTTGAAGCTGTTGCTTTAGCTCAGAGTTTTCTGATTCCAGCTCTTGAATCTGCATGAAAACCAGAGCAGTCGAGTCATTCTAGAAGCCACAGTACGTTAAAGGAACTGCAGCATGGTGTCTGATCAACTATGACAGTTTCCCTAGTCTACTACTAGTTCACTTCTCTCTTTTAACGGGCTCTCCGTCCTATAAAATAGTTTTCATCATATTTGTTAGGACTTCTTGTCCGTGTTGAACAGTATATAACCACTGATGAAGACTGTGTGATATAGTTGAAAGCCTCAAATGCAAGTAAGTGAACCTTGAGTTATTTTACAAAGTACTATTTCCAAGGTCAACAATGAATTTTGTTTACCTGCCATATTTTCGATAGTTTTTACCCTCAAAATATGTTTTTTAAAGCTTTTTTACACCAAATGGAAGTCTTTTTAACAACCGTTTCAGAAATGACAGTAAATTAACCTTAAAATACATTTCACACCGGTGTTTAGCTCCCGCCTCCTGTTGACTAAGTGGCCATTTAAACAAAACCACTGGGCAAGCTCCACAGTTTCAGCAGGGTGAGCAATAATCCAGTTACAGTTTGGGTTTGTTACAACAGAGCTCATTAACATTCATTACTGCCATCCTTTGTCAACGACGCAGCCTAATTGTCCACACTGCATGATTGGAAGCAATCGATAGAGACAAGCCATGCATTAATTAATACCAATATCAACGTGTCAGCATGGTGCTACAGGTTTGAAGTGCATTAAAGTCCATGTGGGAGCAAACAAGCTGAATCAGCTGGACGTGAGACGTACTCGTTTCTGCAGGGTCCCAATCTGTTTCCTGGTTTCCACGTCTTTGCCTCCAGACTCCAGGAACTTCTTGTAGGCCAAGTCGAACGCCTGGCCGATTGTCAGAGTTATCTCTTCTGCCTGCAAGCAGGGGGAGCGACAAGGACTTGCTCACGATATATACACAGCTAAAAGTCTCTGCAGCTTATTTACAGTTGAATTGATCATTGATGGTTAACCACAAGATGTCAAAACACCAAAGAAACGAGGGCGCGGTATTCAAATATATAACATTTTCAATGATTCTGTCAAATGTACATTTATTTCAGTGTAAACACCAGGAAGCTAAAGGCACTTACACACTTTTCACTGTCAAACACAAAGCAGAGGTGCTTGTTGGATTCTGAGTCTTTGCAGATGAAAGTAAATATCCTTTTATCAGTTTTGTCATCCGCACAGAAGGATATCCGGTGCAACTGACAGTTATGCTGCACGTCCTGCAAAACAAACACAGTGCAGTCATCATTTATACACGCCGCGTTGTATGCGGATCTCTTCTTTCTCTACATGGTGGTTGTTGCCAGTAGAACTCCAGGTGTCATGTGCAGTATGGTCCAAAGGATGCAACAAAAAAGCAGTCTAATGTTTGGACTCACTTTAGTCTTGGTATCTAGTATCTTCACGCCATAAATGGAGATCTGTAATTCCACTTTAGGGGTCTTCTGTCCCTCTGACTTCTTGATATGTCTCTGAAACTTCAAATGACAAGCAGAAAGATTGGGTTTAGTCCACCTTATTAATGCATTGATATCTATAAAGGAACAAATAAAACGCTGCAAATGATGTACAACACCACAACTATAGGGGCCTTGTAATGTACACATCCTTTCAAGTGTGTTCTTTGGACAATACGGGGAAGCAGAACAAGCTGAAAACACAACATTCTCACATCAAAAAAGTTATGACGAACGTCCTGCCAATCAATAGCCTACGTACACGTTCGGCAGACACAGAGCGACATTGGCATTCATCGGGTGCTGAGCAGCTCGTGTACAGCGGGTTTATCAAGGCTTGTTTCATGGCAAACTGCTGACTTGCTTGGGAATAAAACGGCAGCATGTTATCTTTTAAGGGCGATGATGATTTGTTAAAGAAAATATTATAATTAAGACGTAAGAAGAGCTTCAGGGAAGACTACAATTAAATATATCTGTGATTCATTCAATGGGTAACTCTTTTAAGCACTGCCAAAAACAAGAAGTCTGTCATGGTCATGTTGCCAACTGACATAAATACCAACAGGACTTGGCAGTTTAGGTGAATTACCAATAAACATGTTAAAAGGGACATGAACACTGTCAAGTTAAGGAGACACTGTATCATCACACATGAGGAAACTTGCGGGAAGCTAATAATAAACCACTACATTAAAAAAAATGTTTTATATATACAAATATCCACTATCAGTGTTGAGCAAGTAAAGTATAGCAATAGCAAGTTATTTGATAGATTATTTTTGATAAGTAATAAGTAAAGTAACAGTATTAGTTGTTAAAGGAGTAATATAAATAACTTACTGTACTTCCTGATTAACTTGCTTAACACAGCTTGATAAGCAACAACAATACTTTTGATGCATTTCAAAAAGGTTTGTGCAGGAAACCATGACACTAGTATGTATTTGCCCCATAGGGCAAACATGAGTAAACGTCTCAATCTGTTATATAATATATAATAGTAAAAAACTATCAATTTGAAGCCAGGGCTCCAGATCGAAAGCCTGATATAATAGAATGCATGATTTTATGCTGTAATGGTCATGGGATCAAGAGTACTTTTTAATGTTTAACAATTCACTCATACAAATCTGAGTGTCTGTATTTTGGCTACAGAGTTTATTATAGACTCATTATCGGAGCTGAAGTTGATTTTCAAAATAAAACTAAAATGAAAAAACCTCACTACCATGTCAAAAATTATGCCGTATGCATTAATACAGCCAAAATAATAAAACAATGTAAAGCCAAAAATGTCCCTTGTGAGGCACAAGTGCTAGCATCTCCTAACACCATGGCACTTTAAGGCTCACAGCTGTAATCAAGCCCTTGTGAGGCCTTGAGTTAGACTTCTATCATTTTTCAGGGCCTACAAATATGAACAGACTGGGCAAAAGAACAGTCAGTGTGTTTCAAGGAGATTCATCTTGCTTGAGTAGAAACACACATGAACTTATCTTAGCTGATGATGAGACTACAGTATATGTGACCTAAACCTTGGACACATGCCTTCCTGGAGCTGTCTCTCAGTTCTCCTCACATGATCTTTAAAAACAGTCCTAATTGCCAGTGTATCTGGGGGAGTAACCATGGAGCCTTGGTCTCCAAACAGGCTTTCAAGATCAAATGTAATTTAACAATAGAGGTAGGGGTTTGGGAAAGCAGTCCTCCCCTACAAGTGGCCTCACAGATTCAACTCTTGGCAGGGGAAGACAGAGGAGAGGCCAGCAGGCAGCGAGCACAGCTACATTACCCAGAGGCTGTGGGAAAGCAGTCTTTGCTGCACTATAACCATAACTCTTAAATGCAAACTTCAGCTCCAAAGTGAACCAAGACTTCATCACAACATGTCTAACTACATGTTAGACATGTCTAACATGTCTTAACTTTCAATTAAGCACCTAATTACCTATTATTCCTCAACCTTTGTTTTCAACAAAGTTCTGGTGTCTAAATGTCAAAAATAATACATTTATAAACAACAACATGTAATATATCTTTCTTTAAAGTTGATAGGGTTGCTATAGACCTGATGACATAGGATTGTGGGCATGCACCATTCTTCTCTTCCCCAGCATTGCTAACTGTTGGCTGGTTGTGTCTAGATGGTAGTAACCTTCTATCTGTGAAAGGGAAAGTTCGGGTGTTTTGAAGTGGGGTTGTATGAGGTCCATAGTCAGTGTATTACCTACAGTAGTTTGGGGAAACAGGCAGGAGTACCAGCTGTGAACGGGGGGCAAAACGTATTATAGCCACACAGAAGAAAGGCCCAACCTAAGAAAAGTGTCTGCGGTATTTAGAATCCTATCACAGTTTTATCTTGCCGTCATACGACTGGGAACTGAATCTGAAATGTACCTATGCCAAAAGACTTGACAAAAATGATATAGATAAGTTTCAATACTTTTTCGGCGACCCTTTCTTTTGGGTGAAATACTGCTGCCCCCGTCCACAGCAGTACATTGCTTTGCTCTTGTGTTGGTACTCCTGGGCAACTAACTAGACATGACCCTGTTGGCAAACTCCAGAGCTGGCTGTAAACAGGCAATGGGCTGTGTGTCGCAATGGGAACTCATTCCGAACGTGCTGTATGCATGTCCAAAGGATGCTCTTAAAACCCAAATAATATCGACATATTCCACATGTCCTACACTATAAATGCTACATTTGGAATAAGGCATTAATTGGATGCTGTTTACGTGAATAATAGTGGAATATCAGTGTACATGTAGGCAAAGTCTGTAATACCATGAATTCATGTTTAAGTAATGAAAATATGTAGCTTGCTTTGACGGTCAGTCCGATATTGGAGGGCTTTGATGACCAGCAGGTCTGGAAATGAAGATGTACCTGAGGCTATTGTTGATGAGTAGTGGACCCTATACCTGCCCAGCACCAAACGGCAGACAGACAGCCAGCTAAGGCTGTCAAACATTTGGCAAAAGAGACTTTTTTCCTTTTCTTTTCTCAGGAGTTGGTGGAGACCAAACAAAAAAGTAGAGTTTGCCCGTTCGACTTAATGATGTGATGTGTCGATGGGTGCGATTACAGCTTGTTACACTGCTCCCGAATGAGCCAAAAGAATCAATGAATGCAGGTTGGAGATAATGTTCAAACTGCAATAACGTATTTTATGGCCACTTGAGTCGTTCCAGCAAATAGTTGCCCGTTTACATGACAATTCTCTGTGGGTTAGTGACACCTTTCACTTGACATACAGTAATTAAAACCGTTGCTAATATATGATTTGTGCAGCTTTAATCAAATGCATTAATCAGCAAATGATAGGACCGCAAACTTGTGTGTACATGAGTGGTATTCAAAATATGAACACAGTAATTTTTCTTCATTACTATGCAAATTGGTTGTAGCACTGCAAAATATAGGCTGTGGCAGTTAATTAAAATACCTGCAAGTTCATAAAGTGACATATTTAGTCAAAACACAATAGAGAGAAAATGTCATGGGTTGAAGGATTCAAGTTTCAGGAACAACAGGTTTCATGGCAGGTAAATATCCCTTCTATTGAATTCTGCATCAGCCCGGTGGTGAAGGTTGACTGAGCAGACTGCCGTGCATGTCCCAGCAGTTATAGGCACCCACACTCGGGAGCTGAAAAACTACAAGGGCACCTTGATGGGTGGCTGGTGACTGATGAGGGAGGGAAGAGGTTGTCACTCACTCACTCCCACCCCTCCCCCCCCTCTGCTCCTAGTCTCCTGACCAATCCGGTCACTCCAGAACTCTCCTCTCCGCTTCGGGCTACAGCTTACTCAAGAGGACTGGCTTTACCTTTAGCTTTCTGACTGCATCCTTCACAACTTCTGTGCCTTTTGGGGCTTCAACCTCTGTGTTTCCGAGGAACTGGAAAGAGAACAAACAAACAAAAAAAAGGCTCACTGTGATACGACAGCAACACAACAAAGACACACAGTGTGAGAAGTATGGTGCATTAAACGACACATAAAGGTAACTAAGAAAAAAACAGAAATGACTGTTATTTATATGCTTTTATTCGACATGATGAACAATTATTTCATAAATCAGGCCAGTAGATGTAAATGGTGGAACAGTCCCTCGTGCATAAACTGCAGATTAGTAGATTTCTATGTGCGTAAATAATAAACTCCCCTATATTAGCATACCAATCACTGGTGACATTTGTGTGAATATCATCTGGCATTTCTTTTTCTAAAGTAAAATAAGTTTAGATAACCTTTCTATCAAATCATCCGTGCTTGTATGCTTTAGAGACATACATTTACCGCATTACACACAATAACTTGCTAAGGTACCAATATGCATGTACACTAAATGCAAAACAAACACACACGATTCGGCCATTCTCCAACAGATGGAGCCATTCCCCTCTGAGCCTGAACATCGTGTCTCCCATCTAACAGCAGCAGCAGCAGCAGCAGCAGTAATTGTTCCCGTCACACACTCTGCTCCAGTGCCTCCTGAGCCTAATGTGTGTAGCCTGTTCCAATATCAGACTTCATAAACACTGGTGTCAGCCCCTTAAAGGTCGGGAGAAACAAAATAACAACGTCTCCCTCAGGAACTCGGCAAACAGCTCAGACAGACATGGGTTGTCTCGCCGACACAGCAGAGTCTGTGTGAAGCCTTCCATGACTTTGGCTTTGCTAATGTACATTTCAATTATGCAGGCAATAGACAGACAGGCAAAGACACATGATTTTTGTGTATGAATCGATGCTCTACTCTATAAGCAACTGTTTAGGGCGTTTAATGAACTTGGACATCAGTACTGACAAGTGTGTTCATGCTAACATAAGAAAAAATAAGGAATTAAAGATGTTTTTCTAATAATAATACTTTCATATAAAAAAAAAGTATGTGTATATATATTCAGGTTTAACAAGTTACAGTTGGTAACTTTAATTCCAAAATAATTGTCACAATATCCTGACAGAAGTACACTGGGCACTGAGTTCCTGTGCCTCCTTTTGGTGCTCCTAATGGCATCTGCAAGATTCCACCAAAACAACCAATCAGAGCCGAGTAGTCTCTAAAGCAGCCGCCGAGCACTGCTTCAGAAGCTTGTGAACTCCGATCAAACTGCCAAACAAGGCAGCGCATCCCAAATGTCTTCAGAAGCATATCTTAGTGCAACATTTAGCTGTTTGTGACCCGGTCGCCATGTTGAAAAGAGTCGAGCCAAAGCCGAGCAAACCTTCAAATATTTTTTGTCCAAACATCACTCAAAAATCTGCTTCTGAAAACATTTGAGGCGAGAAATAGGAAATGCATTAACAGAATGCAAAGGGGCACGAGAGACACCCACAAGAGCATTTATCAAAATAGCAAGAAAACAGATCGGTATGGAGGCTGTATTTGAAAGTGTCAGCACGTACTCCACACGTTTAATAAGGGCATGTCTGAAAGCGCCACTGACAGATGCCCGAAATAGAACGGAGAAGTGCTTGTTCCTGACCAGTGCATTCTGGGCTTGCGACTGGGGAGGTTTCACAAGGTAGACCACAAGCTCGGAGGCTCATCCATCAACTGGTGCATCTCAGCTGCAAGACGAACCACCCCCCTGACCCTCATTCCCCACGGTGACCATCCACGCGTTAGCTTCAAGGGGACTGAGCAACTAACTAAAATATGCACAGTCAAATATGTCTTCTCCATGGCAGGTCTGAAAAACGAATTGAGATGACACCATGAGTAGTGGAAACTGCCCTCGAGAGTTCCACCTCATAGTCTATGCACAGCTCACTCCTCCTGACTGAAGGGTTTTATCATTCTTTTGACACAATTGTAGAAAAGGCCAGGGTCTGTGTCATGTGCGATTTAAACGACCTCTGGATGTGACGTGTTCGATGTCAGACGCACACTCGTCCCACCGGCTTAGAAACCACTCAGCATTTCCTCTCCTCCTGCAGTGGTGAGGTCAATAACACTTGTTGATTACAGAGGTCAGCAGGAAGTCATTGAAGCCGTGTGTTTTAAACACCGCTCTCTTAAATGAGTGGCCCTTGTGTGGTCACCTTGTGTTGAATGTTTTATTTTGTTGTCTGTAAAAATACATTTTACTTACTTACCTATTTTACATCATCTGCCATCAGTGGATGAGTGTGTGTGTGATGAATGTTGACATGTAGTGTGAAGACTAGATTATATAAAAGCATGTGCATTTACGATTGTTTTATTTACAGTCGAACAGTCCAAACCTTCACATTTGAGCAGCTGACACCCGAGAATGCTTTTTTCTTCTGCGTGAAAGATTGAGTAAAACTGATTTGTCCATTTTCAAAATAGTTGCAGATTGATTTTCTGTCCATTGATTGACAAATCGATCGACTGATCGCTGCAACTCTAGCATCAATGTAAAGCATCACAGAAACACAGCAGCACACCTTCTATTCCCTATGAAAGAGATACTTTTTAAGCAGGGCCGTAGCAAATACTCACTAGTACAAAGTGCTGAAGTTGTGTTTTCATTTTTTTTCTATATCTGACATCAGCTAGCTGTTCAATTCCATTTTCACCATGTTTTATTTAAAATTGAGCAGTTCTTTCCAGGTTTATTTGGAAATCAATAACTGCCATTGAACTCTAATTTCCATAAATAATTACATAATTCTTCATATTAACCTCCTAGTTTTGTTTTTTTTAATTACCAACCTGTAAAATGAGGCATTTACTGTTTTGCTGAAACAATTATTTTATTAATCATCCTAAAATATAACTATTTTGATAATCCATTGGCTGTTTCAGTATTTTTTTATGTATAGATGCCAATTTGGTGCCAACTTCTCCAATGTGAGGATGTTCTTCCTTTTTCTCTGTTTTTTGAAAAAAATTTGAAAAGGAAATATCTTTGGTCGACAAAACATAATATTTGTCGACAAAACATAATATTTGTCTGTCATTTTTGGCTGTTTTTTTGCAATTGTCCGACATTTGGGGTGACCGTGGCTCACTGGCTTAAGAGGGTTGTCTGGTAACCGCAGGGTCAACGGTTCAATCCTCGACTGGGACGTGTCATGTGTCGAAGTGTCCCTGAGCAAGACACTGAACCCCCGGCTCCCCGGACGCCTGTCATTGGCAGCCCACTGCTCCCTATATACAGGGATGGGTCAAATGCAGAAGTCAAATTTCGTGTATGTGTATATGACAATAAAAAAGGGTTTCTTCTTTTTTTAGAGTAAACAGTTAAATTGAATAAATGAGAAACTTCATCCGTACTGAAAATAATAAAAGCATTACTGTTATTTCTTAACATGTGGGTCTTAATGCTGTTGATACGACTAAGACTGTGGTTTCTCGCCATGTACTGTATATGTTTCTCTGCAGATTGTAAGCTGGAGAGAACCTGACCTCAGTGTTCTCATTAGTAGCTACAGCCCTGCTTTCTACTATGTTTCATGTCACAAATCACATTCCATCTCAGGTTTCGTTCCAGAAGGCCTGGAGGAAAACCTTCAGCATCATTAGGAGGAGAAAACATTGCAGATATTTTAGAAATGCCATCACATCACAATGGTTCAATACACAGACGGTTTTGTATGACCTTGTTGACTCAATGGATCAAATAATCTTAAAAGAAACATGTCTTTTGTTGAGGTATCCTTCTCTGATATAACTAGCTGAATGATAATAATAGCTCATTTTCAACCATTCCGAATGCTTTAAGGCAGGGAGATTAGGCCACGCACAGTCTCTGACTCATTCCTTCAGCGATGAGTAGTGTGCTCAGATCTCAGCAAATTTAGGCAGAGAGGCAACTCATCAGCGGAGACCGACAATATGCAGACAGTGTGGGGAACCGACAACACGCTTTGACATTAGAGATGTGTCATCTGCCATTTCCGCCTGCCTCTTTGCCGCATACAGTAAGGGAGCTTCGGCAGCTTGGAGGATGCAGCGGTTTTGGAGCTCCACCTCAGATCCATCATAACATTTCTGAAGCTGGGGATGTAGGCTGACAGAGTCACAGCCTCAGAGGAGTGTAACTCTTTTGTCAAAATGAAGCAGGAAACCCCGTCTGACAGGAGAGAGCTCCCCAGGTTAGATGTATTTTGCTGGATTACTTGAGAAATACTTTAAAAAGAAAAGGTTTCAAGTTTTTCCTTTCAAGTTCTTCCGCGTGTGCAGGACCAGGAATGACGGAAGCGTCGGACACTTTACATAAAACACCCAACGCTCACACACTCGTTGAAAAATGAAACTCATCAAGACGGCACACAGAGAGAGACTTTCAAAATTACAGTTTGACAAGTGCGACCTCCTCCCATCACAGCACCGAGGGAAAGCAGCTGCTCGGGAAGATACATATTACAAGAGTTCACACTTTTGGTGTGGTGACATCCACATAAAATGATCCACCAATAAATATACAACACATTGCCATCAGTTCATTCCTAAATGAGATAACTTGGAAATCAAACACTGGTGGCTCCATCAGGTGCCATGCTAATTTTCTGGACTGTCACACAGACTGCGAGCCGCTGTCCTCGGTGCAAGACGGACCTGGTTGTGTCAGGAGAAATGCACCATGGGATACCTGGACTGAGAGGCGTGGGTTCGACAGGCCTGACAGAGAGCGAGCAAATGAAAGAGGAAGCGACAGAAGGAGGAGTTCCGTTTTGTTTCTGTGTTTCATGGAGACCTTATAAGCCTCTCACCACTGTTTTTACAGCAAAGCACCACTTGGTTGTTTGACGTTTGAGTGACTTAACGGTCACAAAGCTCTGCAACAGTCTGATAGCTGAAACGTACCTTGACATTGTAGGGTATGTAATGCTTGGCCAGTGCTTCCGGGGTGTGCATCCATGATTTATCTGAAATGACACAAACAGCTCACTTTAATAAAGCATCGACGCTCTCGTCCAATAAGATACGAGACATACAGTAAGTGGTTAGACTTCACGCAGCGCAGACGTGTGAGCTGTGAGGAATGATGGTCATGCACAAAGCACACACACACACACACACACACACGACTTTATCATCACAGAGAAAGGAGAGCTGAACTAAATATGTATTAAGTAGCGAGCTTCCAGAAGCAAAGAGAAAGATCAAAACTAGGCCTGATCAAAGCATTTTCTATTCCTAACTGATATGTATTTTACTCTTTCAGTCTTTAATCAACCACATTAGTTTCACTAAGAGCAATGCTTTCTCTTTCCAGGGACTGCTTCACTCTGACACACACATTTACACTTGAACGTTGTCCAGTGCAATTTGATTTGTTGGGGACTGAGCAGCTGTATTGCACAGTTGGGGCGGGGGGGGGGGGGGGGGGGCATACTCAAGGGCACATTTAGAGTGGTGATTAGGCAAAGGAGAATGCTGCTTTCACTTTCCCACCCTCATTTGTCCAGCAGGTGTGGTAAACGCAGTACACTTCTGTGCTCCACACGGTGCAATTTGAATGGTACCCTGTGGAGTTTCCGACCACTCTACGCACTGTGGAGCAATGATTTCTATCGTGCACATGCGGAATCACGCGAGCCACACGCATCCCTGCATCTGACGTCACGCTATTCTACCGATCGACAGTCGGTGGCAACAATAATAACGATAACGACCCAACGAAGGCAGAGAAAAAGAAGACTGCCAGCTAATAAACAGTGATTTTAACATTTTAATATGAAAAAGTGTTTCACGGGGGAGGAAATACGTTCCACATGTTTGTCAGCAGCCAAGTGTCTCCATTTGACTGTCAAGCTAATTTTAAGCAAACTTATTAAATGTCGCAAAAAAAAAAGACTAGTTTGGAGCCAATAAGCTTGGCTAAAGCGTCATTTGGTTGAAAGTTGGCGGTATGGTGCTATGCGTGTCTGCGATCTGCCGGTAAACAGGGAAAAAGAAGAAGAGGTTGTGAACCGTAAACAAAACAAGTTGGCTTGGCTATCTAACGACCTACGATAGAACAATGGAGAGAGGTCTTGTGTTCTTTCATGACAGCTATTATTTGGCGACGTCTTCATGCTGTCCGGAGACAAAGACGAGCATTTGCACATTTATGGGAATGTCCGGAAAGACGCAGACGGTGGAAACAGCTGATCAGGCAGGTGAGTGTAATGTGTGCTCTGTCCATAATCCCTGAAGCACACCAACTTCTGTTCACCAAAAGGCAAAAACAACCTTTGGTGAGCTTATAACTTTTATTTATTTTTTTTGCAATTGAGGAAATTTGATCTTATTTTGTTGTTTCCATACAGCTTTTCTAATGCGCTACATCAAAACGGCTTACGAAATATGGTGAGAGACACTGAATGTAAAGATAAGCGAAGGATTTGTACTCAAAATGAAAAAGATGGATTGGGATTGCTGGAAGGTTTTGTGATCAGTGAGAGTCGGAGCTGTTACACAAACATACAAGAGAGGTGGTTGTGCTGTATCAAGGCCAGGTGCAGGACAGTCTTTGAAGATCGCACCAACAGTAAATGATCCGTGGGTCAGAGGTCATGGATGGTTTTCAGCATTTCTTACGCATTAACTTCCTTTTTGGTGATGGGCTTATCGCCCCGTTAATGAGTCCTGTGACAAATGATGCACGACTGAGACCTTGGGGGCTCTCAACTCCTGTGGGTTGATTGCGTTAATCAAGACTTTGCAAAGGTGCAAACGCCGCGAGTCGACTTCCTCCGCACGAGCAATGCTAATGACTTTGTTTGCATTGACGTCGTTGGCTAAAGTAGCTTGATGAATTCAAAGCCTATTGTAATTAGTGTTAATTTGGAGCTCCGCATCTGCTTAATTGTGATTGCTTACGTTTGCTAATCCCCCATATTATTCACAAGGAAACCAAGGAAGTCCTCTAACTCCTCCGGAAATCGGTTTGACAGCAGGAAAATAAGGACACGGGGCGGACAGAACAGCACAAGAAGACGGGAACTTTGTTTCACTTTTCAGACACTGCACGGCACACTGGGAGCCTTTTCCTCTACTTCCATTGTAATCCGTTAAAGTTTACTTAACAGCTGTGGAACGAGATTATCCCTGCTCGCACCTCGCAACGCTCTCCACCAAAGTGCAATCAATTCCCTGGTGGGACTCCTGAATGAAAGTTGATAGAGGGATAATGTATCTCCTCCTTTCTTGTGCAGCTTCAGGAGGCTTATGAACGGTAAATTCCAAGAGAGAGGAACAAAGGAGGAAGGTGGGGTGAGGGCTGACACAGCGGCATGGCAGGTAGGCTGACAATGTTTTTTCAAGGCGTCAGCACACACTGTTCTGATTAAAAGGAAGGGGGGGGGGGGGCTGGGAGCCTTTCTCCTCCTTTTTTTTTGTTGTCGCGCT